GAAACTAATGTGTGAAGGCTATACTTACCAGGACTGATTTGTAAATAGCAGTTAGGCATCTTTGCAATTACACAAATATCCCATCTGCACAAGTATACATACACTGCTCAGTTGTTAACTGAGCACTTACTGCATGCGTGCTTCATTTAAGAAGTTTGAAGAGCAATAACATTGCTGCTAGTTTTGAGACAAGTCATCAAAATGCCTCAAATCCAAAGTTATATCTCTGGCACTGAAGTCAGAAATAGTATTATGTTTAAAAAACTGACATATTTTTATTTTGTGAGTAATATTATAACTTCTGAACAAGCATAAACTTTTGACATCACATCACCTTCTGCAAAGAGTTCTGCAGTTTATCTGCATATTACATTTCCCTTTAGCTCTTTCAAACCAACCACTAGGCAATGCCATTTATTGCCTTCTTGATCTGGAAGTATAAGAGATTGTGAATAATCATTTCCTATTCAAGTTCATCATGCTAATTTGTGATCTCATAAACTGTTGTCATAACATTCCCTCAGTCCCTTCATACATCAGGCTGATGAATCATGCCTGAGCCAGTTTTGCCTTCAGTGGAATCAAGTCTGTCCTTAATCATCTCAGTGGCCCTTCTTTGCAGCCAATTTAGTACACCTATTCTGGAGAAAGAAAACTATGTGTAATAGTCAAGATATACCACAACATGGATTGGAAAGCATATGAAAGTTTAAAGAATTTTGCTTATTTTTTCCTAATAATTCCTTGATTTGCTTGTTTATCGCTAATAAGAATTAAATTCTTACTAGTGAACAGGAAAAAAAAAATAAAATAAAAATACCAGTTTGCCTTGTAAGAGGTACTTTTGCACACAAAAGCCATACTAGATAAAGCATATTATAGTGTTTTTGTGATTGCGAACAGTATTATCTTTATTTTAGACTCAGTAGGTCCTCTGACATCACCGACATAATCCAGGAGACAAATAAACTGGTAAGGCATTTTTAGTACAAGTCTCATTACTCATATGACTCTTTCACAAACCTTCAAGAGGCTCTGAAATGTTTCCATTTATTGAGACTACAGTAATACCAAGAAGTCCTGCTGTGTTAGCCATTAAAGAGATATTAAGCAAAAACAAACACTTCCTCTCCCAAAGGACTTCCAACCTCGTATCAGGTCTCAGTGGCAAATGAGATGTAAAAGTTAAAGGAGCAAAACAAGATAACAAGGAAAAATAAACTGGTACTAAAGGTGTTTGCAAAGTAAGGCAAGGTTATAATTCACTCCCTGAACTAGATTAGAATGCTGCAAGAGTGACTTTGTGCAGTAATAACATTTATTTTTTTGCTTCTAATGGATAGGAAATGATGTCTCCAACTGGGATAGAACAGATTCCCCCATATGTTAGATTTATTTTTATTTGAGAAACCTTCTTAAATAACTGACAATTTGTTATACTGCAGCAATCTAACCAAGTATTCATTTGGGTCAATATTGCTTAGGCTAAATTCTGACTCATATCCCACATTACAATCTGCCATCTGACTATAGAAAGTAAAAGGCTGCTTTCCTTTGGTCAGCCTGTATTCCTCACTGAAAATAAATAAAGAAATAAGTCATTTATAGATATAAACCCACGCTAACACAGTGACAGGGAACCATTTCAAGCAATTTTACCACTTTAATGTTAACTGCTTCAATCAGATGTTTGGCTTTATGGTGCCCCAGTCCCACACTGGACTTCAGCTGAAACCATCAATTTACCACTGTATGGATCATCTCTGTGGTGTGCAGAAAAAAGAAAAAAAAAAGAAGAAAAAAAAAGTTTTATCATCATAAATGCTGTCAGAAGAATAGTAACTATATGAAAAAAGAAAAATGTAAAAACACATTTAGCAACCACATTCAACTTGATGTCATTAGGAAAGAGATGAGCCAGTAGAAAAAAGTTGAGCTCCAGCCCCATGTTCTTACATGTGGTTGAATGGTTTAGGGCACACAGACTAGAAATACTCTTTTGAAATGCCCTATTTAGACTCAGATCTCTAAGGAAGAGATCCTTTTGCTTGGTGTTTGGAGCTGCCTACCATGAAGAAGCACAGAAAAAAAAAAAAAAAGGGGGGGGTCTCCATTTGTACATCTCTATAGAATAGGTCCTAGGTATGGAACCGTGACTTTGTTTGTGAAGTTAATGTAAAATGAATCTTTGTTTATCCCAGAGGTATTTCATATTGCAAGAAAAAAATGCAGTGGAAAATAAAGCAGCCTGGTGACATTAACATCTAATACACTGTTAACCTCTGCGATATCACATTTCTAAAGCATATTTTCTGTGAACAGCAAGATTTACATGTATACATAACCAGTTCTTGCCATGTTTTAATCCAGTTATATTCTAGACCTGTGGCACTTCTGCTTAAGTGTATTCCCTTCAGCTTTCAGCTGCGGGTCCAGGAGCAAACAAAATGAAATGTTGCCAGATCAAGGACTGTATTACCATTCCTAGACATTATTTTCTAGGAAGCAGAAGTTTAATGTCTGGAACTGAGCAATAAAACACATTTTAATGGTTTTAAAGCTGGGAAAGAATCTAGGGAGCAAACAAAGGCTTACACATATCAAATAAGCTTTATTAATAATAATAATAATAAAAAATCTTGGCAATCACGTAGCAATTTTGCGAGGGAGGGAGCAGGACCAAGGTAGCGCTCCGCGGTGCGTGGGCGCCCCCGCGTGGGAATCCGGCCCCCAAATCTCTGCAAGGACTGCCAAGGAAATCCTGAGTGTGCTGTGCTATCTGTTCAACACCACAGGCAGTGTTCCTGCTAGATTACTCGTCTAAAAGCAGAGTTAAGAAACGTGAATGCTCCTGGATAAAAACCATCATCAGCTCTTTCTCGTTATCAGGATATCTCTGCACTGGCTGAGGAAAAGGCAGAATTGGGGCAAAATTGGAGGGAGGGGTGTGGAACAAGCCACAGCTGGTGGCATGGAAGAAGCAAGTTCATCATTATCTTCCACACCCTGAAGCAGAACCCCTGATTCTCACATCTGAACCTTCCCCTGGTTCACTTTGCATCAAGCACTCATGAAACTTTTGGGTAGTGCCCGCACCTTTCTTCTTTCTAGTACCAGCCCCTAAAAACAAAGCGATAACTGCAACTGGTACCTCACATAGCAGATGTCTGTGTGGTACCAAGCTGACAGATAATCAATATGCTCTCAGTATGAGATAACAGCTTACGTTTTCTTCTATTGTGTTGCATCTTTCTAAAAAAGAGGGGAATATTCAAGAGATTTTTATCATACATTTTTTCAAGATTTATTTTGCACGAAAATTAAGTTAAAATTTCCCTGACTTTATAAACAGACAACACATTTTCTGCTTCAGCCCTTTGGTATTACACCACACGTGTGGCTAATGTTGGCTCCATGTCTGTGTGCCATGCCTTTAAAGCAGTTGCTGAAGCCCCACCACCAAGCAGCTGTCTCGACCTTTTTCGATGAGAAGCTCCTGGGCTTCTACCTGAAAGCAATGAAAACCAGCCAGGCAGAGCACCCTGCGTGACACCCCTGAGATGGGTTATTTCAAATCAATTGGTATAAGTAATGGGAAGCACAGAAGTTTAAGCAAACAGCAATGATCCATATTACACAGGTTAGTACGGTTTCAGCAGCAATTCAGACAGTTAGCAAACCATGGCACAGTTCACAAATAAGATGTGAACACTTGACCTTGTTCAATCCGTCACTGCATGTTTGCATCAAAAGATATCCGTTCAATAACTGCAGAATTTCTAAGTGGTCTCTCAAGCCCAGTGGCATGCTTTGAGAGCTTCTCCGACTGCCCCCAGGGGACCTGCAGATCCATTTTGCATGTGGTCAGCCTTCCTGAGATGAGCCTATTACCAAGCACTATCATAGGAACAGACATCTCAAGTCTAATTTCCCTAGCTAGAAAATTCATCATCAGTGCGTATAGAATGAAAATTCCTAGCTCTGCAGAGGCTTCTGATGCTGTGGTTTGTTCAGTGGCAAAACCATTGTCCAGTTTTCTAAAGATCTGAGTTCAAACTCATGTTTCTATTTGATCTGTGTTACATGATTTAAACCTGTGATTTAACTCTCACGCCTGGAGGAAAAGTCTAAAATTGGATGAGATGTTCGCTCTTTCAGTGGGCATCTGGAGAAAGTAGTAAAATGCAATAAACTGGAAGCAGTTTAAACATTCGTCCAAAAATAACATCAATTGTGAGATTTTGAAATTCAACCACTTTTGAGCTTAATTAAAAATTTATTTGAAAATGCTAACAATAATGTTTACATTCCCAATGGTAAAATAGCAGATTAATTTTTAATTTTGTGAAAAATAATTAACATCACTATTAAAAGAAAGAAGAAAAAACACACTAGTTTTAAAGTAGATAGGAAATATTTCTATGATAAGAAGATAAATAAAAGATCAATAGATCCGTAAGAAGATCAATAACAGTGTGGTCTAAATAAAATATAAAACACTATGAATATCAAAGGGGTAACTACAGCTCAGCCAGACGGTGTCAGATTGTCGTACAGGCTCCTGAATTCTTCTGGAATCCTCTTTGCCTCTGCTGGATCCAAACTCTGTATTTTGTCACAGGCTGCACAGGAAATCAAAAACAAAGCTGTGCACAGAGCCTGATTTTACTGCCAGAGCTCCTCCTAACCGGTTTAAAAGTTTCCCTAATGTTGTCAGTCTATTAGTTAACTGAACAACTCAAGCCTGAACTAAAAACAGTATTATTATAGCTACCTAAAAAAATGATCTTTAATCTTAAGTTCTGCCCTTATTTTCTCCTTTCTTACTTTCTGCACTAAGAAGCTTCCCCTGGGCACAGAGAAGTGGAAGTGGCTTCTCTATAGCAGAAATTTCACTCAACAGCATTCAAGAGCAGCTCCTTCCACTTTAACAGCAACTATTTAAGCTAAGTGATGAAACAAAAAGAAAAATCAATAACCAAACTGTGCCTCTGTTTCAGATGGATACACAACCGATGATATTGAATTTTATTGGAATGGAGGAGAGTCTGCGGTAACCGGAGTTAGTAACATTGAGCTCCCACAATTTTCTATTGTTGATTACAAGATGGTATCAAAGAGAGTGGAGTTTACAACAGGTAAGCAGCAGCTAGTTTAAAAAGCTCCCCCACAACCCCAGAGATATCAATCTCTAACTTTTCTTAGGCATTAGTCATTGTATGCCTTCTTTCTTTCAGGAGCATATCCTCGGTTATCACTTAGCTTCCGGCTCAAGAGAAATATTGGCTACTTCATTTTGCAGACCTATATGCCTTCCACATTGATCACAATTCTGTCATGGGTATCTTTTTGGATCAATTATGATGCCTCTGCAGCCAGAGTTGCTCTAGGTAACTTATTTTCAAAATCACTCCAATATATGGATACTTCCTGCCTTTGAACACAGTAGTGCCAATTCCATGCAGCTGATTTCAGAAGCATTAACTCTGGTCTGATGCTGTGCCTCACGGGGTCTTCACTGTTGGGAAGGCAGGCAGATGTCACCTTGCCTATGTCTGATGTTTGGCTCTGCAGTTAGCTTGGGATCCTGACTGACTTCCAGTTGCTGTCATGGTCTTTGGACCAGGCCAAAAGCAGTTTGCTTCCAAACTGAAGCATAACATTCTAATTCAAATATCTAAGGTTATCTATGCTGTGCTGCCCCAACATTTCACTGATGTTAAATAGAGTCGATTTCAGCTGGATGTGTGGCTTGAATGAATACACAAAGTCCTACGGACAATGGTGAAAATTTACACCAAATAATCCTGTTTTACACACATGGTTGCTTATTTCCCATACCATGTTCTTTCCTACAACTTACCATAAAAACCAAGACCTTCTGCCACTGACTGTGCTTTAAGGCAGATGCCCTCTTCAAATTATGTCATTTTTTCCCACCACTATTTTGACTCACCGCTCTGTAAATTCAACTCATTGCGCCTGTGCACAGTGTTATCTAGATACATTAATGGCCTGTGATTAGATTAAAAATAATTTCATCCAGCTAAAAGCAACAAAAACAAAAAAGACAGAGATAGCTAACACAGTAAGGTAGAAATGTTTTATTCAGAGCACCCTTTTAACAGGAAAAGGTCTTTGGCACAAGAATATCACCTTCTCTTCACCAAAGACCATTATTTTATCACAAATTTTTCCTTTCTATTTTACATTTTCAGTCAAAAGTTCCACAGGAACTTTTTCTGGCTCCAAATTATCCTGGTTCCCCAGGACATTGCAAGCTACTTTATGGGTCAAGCAGGGCTACTGCTGTAAATGAAGTGTTCCAGAAGTGTTTAGGACCTGATCACATAACTAAGCCATCAGCATCAGAACTGCGTAGTAGGAGAATAATGCTGTTATCTTATCTTCAATGCTCTTATCTTCTTCATTGTCTGTTTATTCAACATCCACCTCTCTTGCAGGGATCACAACTGTGCTGACCATGACCACCATCAGCACCCACCTCAGGGAGACTTTACCAAAGATTCCCTATGTCAAGGCAATAGATATTTACCTGATGGGATGCTTTGTGTTTGTGTTTCTGGCCTTACTGGAGTATGCCTTTGTAAATTATATATTCTTTGGGAAAGGACCCCAACGTCAAAAAAAGACAGCAGAAAGGACAGGACATGCTACAGGCGAGAAGAGCAGACTGGAAACAACTAGAGTCCAGGTAAAATGTTCAAACTAACTTTTCAAACATTATTTCTGCTGTAACAATGTTGATGAATATGATGATCGAGAGAAATACAGTTTGAACGCATATGCAAAAATCATTTAAGATTGTCTATAGAAAAAATATGTTTTAAGGAGATTACAGAAACAGTTTTTTCAGTCTTCAACTCAAAACAGAGTAGGAAACTACAGAATATGCAAATGGATATTGAGAAGAAGCATTTATTTGTAGCACAGAACAAATTAAAGGGGTACAAGGAAGTTAAACATTTACCATTTCAACTGTAAAGTTGGACTTTTCTATACAAGTCGGTACAGAATAAATATTTAATATAAAGTTTCCTTTTATACACAGAAACCACAGCAAAAATAGAAAGCAAAGACAGATTCTGTTGCTACAGTGAGTTTTGAATGAAACCCACCCCACTGAATTTTCAGCAATTCTCAGTGGAAAATACATCGTAATGAGCCCAAAGAATTTTTGCTGCTTTTTTATTTTCATACAATATATTCCATCCTAGTATCTGGATGGATCTTATTCAGGCTACCTCTTAAAATTCTGTTGTGTTGTGGCCTGAAGTGGTAACTTTTGGACAAAAATGTGTTTGAGCTCTCTGTTCAGCTTGAAGAAAAAGACTAACATATAAAACCCTTAACAGGTAAGCCATTAACTTGATGGATGGTTGCAATTTCACATACATGCCAGGAAGTGCATTTCCAAAACCGTGGTGTTTTATTAGTGCTAGAGTTCTGTGTCCAACTAAATGTCTTGTGTTCCAGCAGCCACACCACTGCTGTGCATCATGCTCTCAGTCCCAGTCAACTCATGAGCCCATTAAAAGTCTTTACCTGCATTTGCCTCCTGTCCCAATATATAGGAGATGCTTTATTACAGTGAATGCACAATTTCAGCTTGGACTTGCAGCAATCTCTGAGGTCCCACAAAGTATTGTCCTCCACAAAGCAGAGGAGATATGGATTGTTGTCCCCATTTTGGATTGCTGTGTGTAGATACTGTCTGATTCTGCGGAAAATAAGGAAGGAAAAAAAAAATCCACATACCAGGACCAGTTACTTCCACAGCTTTTGGGCTAATCCAGCATAAGTGAAAAAGCACAACAGGGGTGCATGATGAAGACAGAAGCCTTGGCTATATGGGCCCCAGTGCACTCACCAGGGTCAGGATAAAAGAGCCGGAGTGCAGGTAAGCTCTTTTTCCTACATATTTGGCTAGTTTGATTCAATATCAAAAAGATCTAGCTCATATAAAAGAGCTTTGTCTAAATGTTATGTTGGTGAAGATTACCAAAAGAAAGCAGAATGGGATGGAATAGATTTATGAACACTTGAGCTTTTTAGAGCACAACACCAGCATTTTTCACACAGCAAATGTAAAGAACACCTATTTTATATGAGGATTTGTAAGTGTTCACACTTTAGATTGAAATTACATTTTGATACTGAGAACTTTTAAAGTGAGTAGAATGCTTTCTGTCTGTACAGTGCAGGTTTGTGATTTTAGATATATGTATACACATATATATAGCCATGCATATACATATAGAGACAGCTGAACAGAGATATCAATGAAGTTAGTTATCTCACTGGAGACACATCAGTGTGTGACCTTGTGAGCATTCATTTTACTCAGCATGGAAATGATGATGTCCAACAGCAGTATATTTCTGTCTTTAGCAGGCAGAAAGCATGTGATCAGAACAGAGCAATGCAGTAAGCTTGTGTGATCTCTAGCAAAGACAGCTCCCAGCCCTTCTTTTGAGATATTTCATTGATATTACAATGGTCTATACTGAAGCAGGGAAAAGCTTTTTGGAACTCAAAAGAAGTGCAGCTGTAAGTATGTGCAGCTACAGGAGATTTATTCCCTTTACAGGGAATCACGTAAGCATACAGGGACCTATAACTAAGAATGTATGTAACAGTGCTTCCTCTTTTTGTGCCAGGTGAAGATATTTCTTATTTCCATCTGACTTACAGCCCTCCCAACTAAAAGAGTTTGAATTCCTTCACCAGATAACAAGACTTTAGATATGTGGGCAACACTCAGCAAAGTGACTGTGATATTAAAACAGAGAAGACCAGACGGAAACTGATGCCATCCTACTGCTTCATGTATAGCTGTTCTTTGCTCTACAGACTGAAGAAAGTGAAAATAAGGCCTGTTCAGTTTCACAATTTATGCCTTTCTAATCTATAAATACACAAAAACAAAACAATGTAACAAACAAGATTTCTATTTCTCTGAATAAAATTTAAAAAAAAAAAATGTTTATATGTCCTCGTCCATTTGTCAAAACAAGATGTCACTGAGGAAATCACCATAGTTATGTATTAATAGAACAAACAATCCATTAAGAAAATATTCAGGTGGTCCACATGTGCAGAGCTTCTGTTTCCCTAGACAAATCTAATGTGAATAATCATTACACAGGTGTCTCTCAAGCATGAAAACAGACAGGATGCAATCATAATGTAAGTGGGGAAGAGGATGAACCATCTAGAAGCTCATAAATTACATCACAAGGCAGGTGACAAGAGGTCTCTTGCCCTCTAATTCTGCACAACATCATACCTTCCTTCCAAATCTTCTGTGAACCTAAAAACATCCATGATGGAGAGACAAAGACCAACCAGAGGATCCAAGGAAGGCATAATTTTCCAGCACTGTGGTAGTGGAAGGATAAAAAAGGAGGGAGCACACCACCATAAAACTAGCTCAGCCTTCATGTAAATCCACACCTGAATAAGTTTATCCCTCTTGAGTATAACCTGTTTCTTTGAAGAGATTGTGATACTTTTACTGCAGGTAAAAGAATATCTGTTAATCAAGAAATCCCGTTTTCATCCCAGAAATGGCCAGTTTACATAATAAAATTTAGGGCAGGATTTATCTCTTTCCTGGTCAGTAACTTTATCCTTGAGTCTCCAGCACAGTCTTTCTCCACCATTTTTTTGCCAACAAATGCCACCATTGTGTTTCTAAACACATACTCAGCATACTCAGCCACGCAGACCCAACTATGTCTGCGCTAAATCATCAAAGATTGAGCATCACAGATACTTCATTTTCAAAAGCCAAAAATTACATGATTTTTGATGCCATTATGTTTTACAGGGAGAGAACTTGAGACTCCTTAATGCAGCACAGTCTTGAGGAAACAAGCAATGCCTTGCAAAATTTAAGTGTAAGATAAAAGATATGATCTATCTAAACTGAAAATGTTCCAGGATAGCAGTATAAGAAAGAACGTTTCCATTAAGGAACATAAAGGCAGTATTTGAAAGAATAAATGGGTTATATCTAAGCAAGGAAAAACTACTCAGGGTTTGTTATGGCTCATCTTTCCTACCTGAGAAGAAGGCTGAAGTGCTCCATTCCAAAGCCAGCAACCAGCCAGTGGGCCAGAAAACTAAGGAGTAGACAGAGCCTGGGTTCAGCCCACCCATGATCTTCTTCAGGTGCACAAGTATTAATAACATTTTGGAGTGAACTTCAATAAATTCTGAAAGGGTTTTTTAAGACACAGAAACTATGAGTCAAATTATTATTTGACTACTAGCCCAACTTCTTGTTGCATAAGCAGAGAATTTGATCCAAGTACATTAGAAGGACTTTTATACTTCTCTGAGCTAATTTATTAGAGGTCACTGTAAGACCCTTTGCTCTTCAAAGCCTGCAATTCAAAGACTGAATTGTTTCATGATGTATATAAATCATCTCTCCTAAAATGATCTAAATAAAACTCATTTTAAAAAATAATAGAATAATTCATAATACTTAACTTAGGAACTCATACGCTGCTTGGCTTGTAATAAACTGCCAGGACATATTAATTTGAAAAACATCCCTATGAATCAATTTAGATTGTAAGCGGTTATGTAGTTGTCTTCACAAAAGAGAAGCTATAATAACTGCTTAATGATGCTTGCACTACTGTTATTACTATTACAACAGTAAAGTAAATTAGTTTAAATATTAGATTATACAATCAAAGACAGCTCAAGGAGTTATTCAGTAAAACTGAAAAGAAAAAGTTGACCCATCAAAACTTCTGTGTTTTGTGTTTGTTTGTTTGTGTTTTTTTAATCTCATTTTACTTGGAGAGAAATCAAAGAATCACAGAATGGTTTGGGTTGGATGGGACCTTAAAGCCCACCCAGTTCCAACCCCCCAGCATGGGCAGGGACACCTCCCACCAGATCAGGTTGCCCAAAGTCCCATCCAGCCTGGCCTGGAACATTTTCAGGAATTGGACATCCACAGCTTCTCTGGGCAACCTGTTCCAGTACCTCACTACCCTTATAGTAAATTTCTTCCTTATATCTAACCTAAATCTACCCTCTTTTAGTTCATAACCACTACCCCTTGTCCTGTGAACTACACTCCCTGACAAAGAGTCCCTCTCCAGCTTTCTGGTAGGCCTTTCAATGTACTGATAGGCCACTATAAGGCCCTTATAAGGACACTATATGGCCACTAATAATCTGAGACCTTTACTTTTTCCACAGAAAACTTCAGAATTTTCAGGCAATGATTAGTCCCATAGCTACAGCAGTCCTCTGGAGAGTAAGAAACACTAGCTTAGGTCTTCCTTCTGCACATATTAGAAGACCTGACCTAAAAAGTAGAACCTCGGTAGCCCATATCTCAAGTAAACATGGCAAACACCATGCCTATCTGTGCCCATCTGGCCTCTCTAACTCAGAATATTTAAGCTTTTCCCACTAAAACAGAGGTGGGAACTGCGACATTCCCACCAAATGATCATTTCAGTATGTAAAGAATCAGTTGCTAAACCTCACTAAGTGAATTCTATGTCTGTGGTGACTCCATTACTCCTTTTAGAAGGCTTTTTTCCCCTCTGCTCTCCTGAGAGGCTCCTGTACAAACAGTCCCGTCACATCTTTGTTTTCAGTTAGCAAATACTTAGACTGGCACAGTGTAAATGTGCCAGTCGTCATCACACATCCTTTTCTCTCAGCAGCAGTGGGAACAAACATCTTGCATGCTGCCAGGTGGAATGGAGGCTTTCACTGGCTTCCAGCTTTCCTCCACTGCAGGCCCTGGAGACTGGATTTTCACTGTTTGCTCTACTTCAGTATTTTCCTTAAATGTACTTCTAACCCGATGTAGATTATTGTACCAATTCCTCACTCTGCTATATCTTTCGAAAGAGGTAAAGCCCAGAGTGTGAATAATGCATGGCATAGCACTGGTGCTTCACTAGACAACATATTGTCAACTGGTGATTTTTTTTTAATCTTTTGTATGAAGGCTTACACAGACAGCCTTGGTATCAACTGTGATATATTTGGGGCAGGCATAAGGCCATAAGGTAATTTTAATAGTAAGCCTCAAGTCAAAGTCTTAAAAGTTTCATGTAAGAGGTCTGTTTCCTGGTGTATATTTCCCTCATTTAAGATACAGTGGAAGTTTAAATATGTGGGAATTTGAAATCTTTATGGGAAAATCAGAATTCATCTTAGAAATACCAGAAACATCTTCTGAAAGAGGGTTTACTACAAACTGCTGGGAACCTAAAGATAAGTGAAAAATTAAACTCTCTGAAGTAATGCAGCCATTCATATGTGATCACACTCATGCATGAAAAAGGGCAATAATATTAAAATGTTTGTGTGTGTGTGTGTGTACATATATATGTATATACCAGTTGCAGTTTCCAGTTCTTTACTCGAGTATTTTAAAACAGTTCCCTAACAGCACAAATAAACATATTTGAAATAACTACTTCTGGTAACAATATTTAAAAAATGCAACTGCATTTCAGGTTTCCCTTAGTAAAATGGAATCATTTGTCTGCAGATGAAAAAGTTAATGGCATGCTGTGGGGAGCAGGGATTTCCTTCCCTACAAGAGATTAATTCTCCAAAATTAATTCTCATCACAAGCTTTTTACAATAACTGATAAAGTGCATGTGTACCTACATGTTCTTCATATGATGAATCTGTTATCACAAAACTTTTTAAAACTAACCCACAGCTGTACAAAACTGTACAAAACTGTATAAAGATGGCAGAGACAGGAATGTTTTATTGTCACCTCAAGACAAGAAAGCTTAAGGTGCCAGGTCACCAGATATTAAACCTCAGTGTTTCATAAAGATCATGATTTAAGTGAAAGATAAAAGTAGAAGTGTTCCTTTATGGATAATGCAATAACTGAGTTGAAAGGTCTCACACCAAGAAGCTGGGTCAGGATGGAAGATACTTAGACATTTAATAGCTGATTTCATACTAGTCAGGAAAGCATATTCAGCATCTTTTCACTTCCGTCGACAAGATGCAACAATCCCTGCAGTCCCAGAAGCACCTCAACTGTAGAGCCAAAAGGTACCTGCCAATCTGGGAGACAGCTTGAGCTGACTGAGGAACTTACCTAATTCACGTTCCTTCCTTGACACAGGTTGATCCCCATGGAAATGTGCTGCTTAACCCACTCGACATAAGAAATGACTTCAGCAGCTCAGGCATGTTCACAAGTCTCCGTGACACCCAAGCCACCACGTATACATACGACAGCACCAGCCTGCAGTACAGAAGAGCCACTTCCAGCAGAGACCTCTACAGCAGGAGTGCTCTGGACAGGCACAGGCTTCATAAAAAGGGACGCTTACGAAGAAGGGCATCCCAGATCAAAGTCAAGATCCCTGACTTGACTGATGTTAACTCCATAGACAAGTGGTCCAGGATGGTCTTTCCCATCACGTTTATTCTTTTCAATGTTGTTTACTGGCTGTATTATGTACACTAATTTATGCAATAATGTTATAATACACTAACACATCTGGACTTGTTTGTTTTCCTTCTCAATTTTGTTAACTATTAAGGACTGAAGTAGCCATGTTACATTTTCAAGGTGAAATACCCAGCCATTGATTACTTCTAGGTTTAAACTTTTAAAGCAAACAAACAAACAACAACAACAAAATACAAACAGACATCATATTCAGATCAGAATAGTACAAAACTGCTCTCAAAGAGCGAGGTTGGACACATGGCTCCTGAGGTGTTGCTTCTGCCACTGTCAGAGCTCAGATTAGGCTAATAGCCACTGCATATTGCCAGACATAACCCCAGCCAAGGAGCTGCAGGCAAGATGCCAGCAAGGTGCATGCAGCTAAGGAGCAGTCGGTTGGTCATCTCCTATCTGTATCAAGTCCCTTCCCCTTCCTTATTGTCAGCTTTTTCCTAATAGTGTTTATATTAATTTACCTAACATAGCATTTTATTGAAACATAACTACTATAAGTTAAATTTTATTTTGTGTTGAAAGTATTTCATACTTTTAGGAAACTCAAGATATACAACTCAATATGGCCTATGTAAGTACCAAGACTATCAATCATCTACAGAAAGAAACACTGATCAGGACAGTAGGCAGCAATATGCACATGTAGACATTAGTAAGGAATACAAATGTGCAGTCTGGAAAGCTTCTTAATCAGTTCCTCATTGACTGGTGTAAGGTCTACTGATGACCTTATCACTAGTTGACATTACAACTTTGCACTCGGAATGTAATAATAAAAGAAACATTATTGAATGTTAACATTTGTCACATCTCACCAGAACTGAACCTCTTTACAGATCAGGACGCACTGCCTCTTCCCTTTGTTTGTGCAGCAGGCCTCTACAGAAAGAGACTAGAATGATAAATCACTAAGCCAGAAAGGCAATAGCTTTAATGCATTCATTACAAAATATGTGAGGCTGCAAAACAGGCATTTGGCATTGCTTATCCAGGTTGATCCTTTAGTCTATCAGTTTTGTTGTGAGCTCCAAAGTCCCCGTCTCATCCCAGGTTCAAAGGACATCAGGTCCAATTTGAGATGATTCAGGATAATATTAATACAGTCAAATGAGGGTACAACTCTTATGATTGTGCCCACTCTAAAATAATTCCAAATATTCCCTAAGTACTGCCCCACATCATCAGACTCAAACTGGGGCAGTGTAATTACTTTTTTAGTAAAATTTTTAAAATGCTTAGACCAAGAATACTTTAATGACAACTAATAATAATACATTGGTATCTTGAAATAAATAATACATAAAACATATGGAAGTCTTGCATGCTAAGCAAGCTGAATGTTTCATAACTGCAAGAAATAGCTCCAGGAGAGCAACGGTAGTAAGACCATATTTGCTGTCCATTTAAAACACACACCCCATTACGTGGTTTTGAATTTAACAAATTGGCATTAGAGTATACAAGCAGAGAGACTAAGTCAATGAGCCAGTGAACTTGCAGACCTCTAAACCCCTCAGGATGCAATCTCTCTTCAGATGCATTTTTGGAGAGGTTTTGTTTGCTTCTTTTCTGATGTTTGTTTGTGGTGTTTTTTGTTGATGTTTGTTTGTTTGTTGTTGTTTTGTTTGTTTTTTTGTGTGTGTGTGTGTTGTTTTTTTTAATAGATTGGTACTCATTACACATCATGTTGCCATACTTTGGCTCAGCACTAACTATCTCAGTATTTAGGAGAATAATGGCTGTGATACTTTAGAGATCACTACATACTTCTCTTTTACAACAGTAGTTTCTCTATGTGCTACAGAACACCAGTAAAGCCTCCTTTGAAGTTCTAAAGTACCTTCAGTGTGAGGTTGAACCCAGGTTCCTCTCAGCATCAGACCAATATCCACCAATAACTATAACTTTGCGTACACATACCCACCTGTTGCTGTCAGCTATAAAGGTACCCAACCTCAAAGGCAGTCTGCAACCCACTCCTAAAAAATAGCACCTGATTGTTACAGCACCCTATTGTTACACTCAAGACCATCTAAATCAAAAGAGAAAATAGCAAAAAAAAAAAAAGAAAAAGAAAAAAAAAGCTTTCAGATGTTCCCCCACTCCTGTTAACCTCTCTCCAGCCCAACAATACAAGGTCAATAGATTGGGCATCCCTAAGGACAGAGGAGGAAGAAAGACCACAAAGACAGAAGTAATAACTAAAGTATAACAGACTCAAAGACAGTTTTGTGGTTATACCTGGAAATAAACTCAAAGGCAGCAATACATTCTGCAAATTTGTAATGTAAGATGTGAAAGACAGCTGTCAGTGACCCATGTTTTTGTATTAACTGATTTCCCAGAGATATTCCAAGGCAGAGCATAGGTCAGTAATTTAATCCTGCTATTCCAGTGGTGTGGAGACAGAGACATTACAATTTCTCCTGTGGATATTTAGGAAGAGCTAACATCCAATGCAATACTGAAACAAGAACTTAAGTAATAAAAAGGGATGCTTTGCCTTCTGTTTTAAGATTGAAGGTCTGCTTTAATGGTCTTCAACATATTTTCTTTTAGACTCATAGCATTTGGATACACATAGTTTCTACCTCATGTATCATCCAGTTAGTTCATAAAAGTGCTAGCATGTGGGCTAAAAGCAGTTACATGTACAGTGTCAAGAAAAAAAAAGAAAAAAAAAAAAAAAAAAAAAAAAAAGAATACGGAGCTGAGGAAAGTTCCCTAACTAGGAGCTGTGTAAATGCAATACTCCTTCAAAGTGGCATGTTCCGGAATAGCAGGGGTCCAGCCTAATGCTTCAGGAGTCCCTTGGTGCATGGCACTGACGGGAACCCCAGCCCCAATGCAGGTTTTGTACAGCATGCACCAAGCCCTGGCTGTGCTGGGGGCTGGAAGCCACCATCCTGAGTGAGGAAACAGCTGCCGGCCCTCAGCAGTAAGATTTGCAGCAGGGGCTAATAGCCACATCACACACATGGGCAAGCAATATCTTACCCCAGAGCCAGCATCTCCTGTCTCCCACTGAGCTCCTGTCAGCATATTTAACCATTCTGGTAGGGAAAACAGAATTTTGTGTAGAAGCTTGCAAAGCATGACTGATTTAAACAAAAACCTCTTTCTAACCTTAAAAGAGAATTAAACCAAAACTGGGGAATAGGGTGCATAACCATAACTAGCACATTTTATTTTTTCCAATAGTTTTTATAAAAAAAGAAAAAAAAACGCAGAACACTTCTCACTTGAGAGCAATAGCTTGGCAGCAAGGAAAAGGCAGTGGTTATTAGAGGCACAGGATGGAAAAGAGGAGCTATATATAGGGTACCCGTGTACTTTGCCATCTGGTGTTAGAAGTTAGTGAGTACAAAAGAAACACAGCTCTTCCCATGAGTAGGCTGGAGTCATCTGAGTGGCTTTAAACAATAAAAGTGAATAACAGACACTTTACTGCTAAGCTCCATCACTGCTATATTTTGGGAGTTAGTTTGCATGCCCTCAGGAGCAGACTTCAAGCTCAGTGTAGATAAGGTGCTATTGCTATTAGATTTCAGCTAGGCCCCCCTTACAATTTGTGCTGCTGTTTCATGCAATTCATGAATTTGAACATATTTAAATAAACTTGTACTGGAAGTCCTTTTTAGATAGCTTTCCCAAGGATAAGATCTTCTGTCCCTGGGTGTGTGCATGCATGTGTGTCTACCTGGGAGTCTGCCAATAATATTTGACTCCACTAGCAGTTTTAACCAAAAGGTAACAGAATAGTAAGGATCTGTGAGGTATTATATTCTTACAAGTTGCACCTAAACAGGTAGCTGCAGATAGGGCAAAACTCCTGTTAATCCATCCCTCTTTTCTGGAAGAAAGGGAACTGCAGCCTTATTAGCCATCAGAGAATCCGTTTGGTGCTTCAGTTCACTACCCAGATCCACAGAAAAATGGGGTTCGTTGGTTCTTGTACTGTTAAAACTATTTTTTTCAGAGTTATAGCAATCTGTTAATCTCATTCTAATCTTACTTCTCTTCAGCACTGTCCCACTCGATTATGAATGAAATGGCCAAGGGCTAACCCAGCAGGTAGCCTCTCTGGAGCACATAGCTCTCTGAGAGCAGAGATGATTAATCTGATGGTTCACATCTTGGTCTGTTTTGACCTCGTTAACAATACATCACCTGATGCTAGGAATCTTTCCCCCCAAACAGTCCACCACCAAAGAAGTCCCTGTGAACCTGGAGTAGCTTGCAGTTAGAAAAGGCTCCAGCCCTTCCAGTGCCTTTCATCACTATTAATTTAGCTGATTAATCTGAAGGTAAGAAACAGCCAGAGCTTCTCTATGTTATGACTCCCACTGGTGCTAGCAAATATGGTGAGTACCTTTGAGTAAAATTCCCGGCTACAGACAGCAGGAAGGGTTTAACACCCAGTATATTATCCTCCAGAAACCAGCCTAAAATACAAGGTTCTGCTCTTGCAATGACCTCTCCAACAGACTGGCCTGGTGAGCCCTGCATGGAGCTGTTTTGAAACCCACAGGATTGTAAAGGTCCACAGGATGACTCTTTGTGAGATTTGTCAGCTTCTCCATGTTTTGGCAGTGTGTTTTTTGTTTGTTTGTTTGTTTTGTTTTTGTCTGGAGGGGTCTTGAAGCAGGTATAAATCACAAACATGCAGAGGGAATGAAGTATACTGACAAATTTAATTGAAGTAGATTCAAAATAATAAAAACTATAGACTAACGGTGCACTTATGGAAGCATGCTCTAGTAGCAGAAAAGGAAAAATAATCACTTTTTTCTAATACTTTATTATGTATATTAATTCACAATTCAAAGTGTTAGTAAAGCGTGTATACTTCAGAACAAGCTGTTACTGTTCCTTTCAAATAAAAGCATAATTTTGTCAGCATGGTTCTTATCAGAAAGGCTTCCTCCAGATCTCAGATACTTTTTACAGGATAATTGAGGTCTGGGTCTTCTAAAAATACATCATTTTGACACGCACGATTGCTTTGTTGCAAAAGCAGTTTTATTGTAGTAGTCACTTCCATGTTCACAGCTAGCTGCTCTGATCCAATTGTGGTTCTGTGCGTGAAATGATTGATCAAGAAAAACATGATTTTTTTTCTGAAATCAAAGAAAGGTTTCTGTCAAGTGGAGAGACATGCAGTGAATGCCACTGGGGAGCAAGTAACCTTCTTTTTATAATTCACTTTTATACTTCGTATCGATATATGCTGCATTTTCTGATTCAAACTACAGGTCTGTGTATGCAATGTGAATTTCTGTGGGTGCTTTTTACATGCTGAAATTAAAACTACATACAGTGTGTGCATTCATTATATGTACCTTTTTGTTAGGACCTTTGGTTCAAAGAGCCTACTGTACAAAGTTTTGTTTCTAGTCTTAATTGCATGTTTAATAGGTCTGCACACAGTACCTGAAAAAACACAGAGGTTTTACCAAAAGATATTTATGACACTTTTTTTTTTTTCCTTTGAATATAGTCTACATTTTTGAAGTGCCATTCTTCCATAAAGTCCTTAGCACTGTGACTCTTATGTGTGATGATCAACTAAGCTGGAATGGACCAAACTGTGACTTCACTCAGAATCCCACCAACTTCAAAGCAAATTGAATAAGTTCTAAGAATCAAACAAAGCCAAGTCACACAACTGCCCAAGCAATTACCAATTAATGTGGACAGAATTAGGAATGAGTGAAGAGGAACGAGTTCAGCAAAGAGTTACACTTTTGTCATGTGAAAATACAGCTGCACGCTGTGCAGTAACAATGATTCTTTGTTGCCACAGGCAACTGTGGGACCCCAAAATGAGCTGCTCCCCAGTGGGTACATGCTGAACTGGAAGTTTTGTCTTGAAGGAAGAACTTTTTACAGTGAGAACAATCAATCAGTGGAACAACCCTCCTTAGGGATGTTGTAGAATCCCCATCGCTGGAGGCTTTCAAGATGCAGCTAGACTGGGTGCTGCATAATCTCATCGAGGCTCCCTTTTCACACAAAAGGTTGGACCTGATGATCTGTTGAGGTCCCTTCCAACCTGGGCTGTTCTATGATTATAGGAGACAATATGAACGTATGTCCATGAAACAGGGCTAAATGGTGAGCACCCTCTGGGAACAACAGTTGCAAATTCGTGGGTGGTGGGATATGCAAACACTAAAGCCATCCAGCTGACCGTAACCAGCTAACTAGAGCTCAGGCCTGGAAGCACACAGAAAAATAGCTAAGCAGACAAATTTCATATTCACAGAGTCTCTTTAAACTCCAGTACCCTTGGTCTAATTCCTATACCTTCAAAAGGAATAGAATTGCTGTCCTGATCACCCTAGTCACAGACTCACATGACTTCTCACAATCACACCCCTTCTACGGGTTTTCGCTTCCAGTGTGGTGCCTCTGTTTTTCCCTGCTCACAGCATACAATTTCTCCATGGTCTGGGGCGTGCATTGCAGTGCTTTGTGTTACATGAAAATCTGCATGGAAATGTAATGCCAACTTCTTCAACTAACCACCTGCTCCATAGCCCAGAAGAAGCACAGCTGGGCATACTTAATGCATAAATTCTCTTCTTCTTGCCTTGACCCCATAAACTCGTCTTATATGTTTCCATTACACATACATTTTTACTGTTGTCCTTCTTTGCATTCATCAAAGTATTATGTTGAAGCTGATAACAGCATAAGGGGTTTAGTGAAATCTCTAGCTTTTTGCATCAATTTGGCCTGGTGCAGTTTCCACAAAAGCTTTACTGTCACTACCGAAGACCTTTTTTGCTCCAGAAGTGCCTACTTCTACAGAACTAAACTATCTTCTGATAGATGGTGTGAAGCATCTTTTCTGTTTTGCTCATTTAGTTTCAATGTACTGAAGGCCATTGCACTTTTTACACAGGTTGGTTTGTTTCTCTGTAGAGATGCAAGGTCAGGATACACATTTCCTTCAAATGCTCTTCCATCACCATATTTTAGCTCCTACTTCTTGACTGTTCTACTGGTGTTCCTCTCTATCTTTAGCCATTCACACATTAGTACTGTTTGCCCACTATCCAAAACATCATTTCTGATTATATAAACAATACTCTGATTTCCAATAAAATCCAATATTTAGAAAAAAATAGCTCTTGTGCACTTACTGCTGTTATGTCATAACACAAACTATTTTGTCATTTAAAATAATTGTAAAATAAGCCTGCAGCTTTTCCTGTTTGGTGCATCAGTAAAGGGCAGGACAAATGTAAGATGATAGTAAAGATGAAACACCACTGCATATCCTTAGTCCTGGTTGAGCAGGAGGGTTGGACCAGACAACCTCCAGAGGTCCCTTCCAACCTCAAGCATTCCGTGACTCCATACTGCTTTTTGTTGCAGTGCTGATTTTCTCTGAGCACGTAAAAAAAATGTCTGAGGTTAGTGACTAAATACATCAAGACAATTTATTGCAACAATGCACCCAAACACACAATCGATCAACTATTTATTCACTATTTACAAGTATAAATACATTAATGATACAAATATGCTGTTGTGTTCTTTATTATCATGGCACCTTAGATATGAATAACATACTTTGCAATTAAGACTCCTTAGGTTGACTAGGCATCTGTGCAGTCACCCCCCAAAATTTAACTGAAACAAATATAGCACACTAAGTTATACTTCTTCATATTTCTATAAACCTTTAGTACTAAAAGCTACTGTACACTGAATTTTTTATTTTTGGTTGAACAAGACTTTGTTAGTTTCATAAAAGACTTAATAGTGTATTTGGTCACAAGTCATAATTGCCTTCTCAGTTCAGTATTTGACAGCATCAACAGCTTCTGACTTTGCAGAGAGTGTTTCCTTTTTTTTTTCCGAGTCAACTGGGAAGCCATTGCCAGCAGACATTATCAATGATCTGAATTCTGTCATTTCAGTTGCAAGACAACCTTCAAAAAGACGGAAAGGGATAAGATCAAAGTTGGATGAGACAAAAACTTAATCAGTCCAGGAGATACACCATTATGCTTTCTGTTACAGTATATGTAACTGTATAAATGTATCTTTTCCCTGGAAAATGTGCCACCCCCCTGCCAGCTCTCTTGTACAACCTCACACAGTTACTACTTCCAGCCACTTTCTTTAGCACTTACTGCACACTAACCACTTTTTGGTTCCCCAAAACCAAAAAAGCAAAATGGTGCTTTCCAGGTCCACTAGGATTCCCTTTACACAAAGCAGAACAGGCAGCACCATTACTAGAATGAATTCCTTCTTGTCCTCACCTAGAAGCATGGACACAAAAACAACCCATAGGTTCCATACAGACTTTCAAGCAGACACAGGGCACATGGAGACTACTGAAGTCTGTTCTGGGAAGAACATTTGAGGGCTCTCATTTCAAGAGACCAGCACCTGTATCTGGACTAACACATTCACCTCACTGAGAACTTCATAGTTACTCAGAGGTCTCACACCAGCAAATTCACAAGGACTCAGGAAGAAAAAACATCAGTAAAAGATACCTTATTAGCGGCTTCCAGTGCATTTATTAGGTTCTGCAGCTCTTCCTTATTCATTTCTATAGAAACTGGTTTAATTTCACCATTTTCTCTCACATCCAAGTCAAGATTGAGAAGTGGCATTTGCAGCATGGAGATCTTATCACTGGAAAGCGCAAGCTAGGAAGATTGAAGAAAAAACAACAAAACATAAGGTGGAGCCATTAAGTTTTTAGTCTTTCAGAGCATTAAATCTTTACTTTATATTGAATGGGTGCTACCAGAACAAACATCCACATGACAAAACTAACTGCTCACAATACCTGCAGGATTATTTTTTTTTTTATCCATTTGCAACATTTTTGGTTTTTTTTAGATGAAAATAAGATATATTTGATCATGGCTCTTTAAAGTGAAGTATGTAAATTTTGAAGTCACTTTATAACGTTGACTAGCATAACTATTTTTGAAGGGGGCAGTAGGGTAAAAGAGTACAACTATGCAGTTTTCAACTCCCTCTACAGCTGATCAAATACTGTTTATCAGATACTCTACTTGACTGATACTGATTAAGAAGATTATATACCAGTCATGCTTTATTTTTTGTTCACTATTACACCCACTCTGGTATAAGTAGGCCTTTTATAAGGTATTACGTAGAGGATCAGTTAATAATACTGTTCATCAGCACTGTACAGAGCTATTTTAATAGTCAGCACAGAAGGTGTTACAACAAAGGACAGACAAGCTCCTTGGGAGGATTCAATTAGAGCAAGTGGAAAAAAAAACACACAAGTTCAAGGAAGAAAAAAAGCTGTTTAAAGCAAAATTAATACAATAGTTCAGACATGTACAAGAAATGTATGTCATGCAATAGGAAGAAAGTAAAAAAGAAATTTCCATGAGCAATGGTTAAAATAAACCACAAGCAACTAAAAGTCTGGTTTATGTTTTCCTCACCAGTAAATGCAGTTAGCATAGCAGACCAATGATTAATAACAGCACAATACGATGCACATTTGCTCTCACAAAATCTTGTCTTTGGTGGACAATGCTCTTTAATTTCAAAAGCTGTTTGCTACACAAATTATTTAACATAATGGAAATGGAAGACTATTTAACTACTCCCATGGACTAAGTAAACAACATTTCTTATGCGGTTTATATTTTATGTCTTTGTCATAGCTTAATTTAAAGCAGAAGTGGCTTTGTAACCCCAAAGCACCATTTCATTTTAGGTAGGGCAGTCATGTTACTTACTATCACAACAAATCTAAAGATAAATGATTCCAAATTAATTATTAAGTAGCTGTTTAATACAGGAGTCTAAAAGTTTGAAAAAAATCAGGGAACCACAT